ATCAAATATAGAAGGGGCACGGTCACAAGTAGTGTTTCGTTCTACATTATTTGCGCAGTATATAAATATTTATTATTGTAAATGTGTACGTGTAGTCATTCCAAAACTTATATTAAGGCAGCAAGGTGCCTGGTACAAAGAATGAACGAACACCATAAACCTTAGAAATTCCCATAAACACAAACACAGAAGCACCTTCAAAATGTCATGACACAAATGTGTATATGGGATCATAAATGTGTGCACCAATATACAGGGGAATCCAAAAGTTTTCAGAATGAAATTAAGTGGGAACTTTTCCCGCAAAAAAAAAAACAGGACAAATCTGAAATTCATTTTGAAGCTACAAAATTAGATACTGATCGAAACCAGTAACGCATAGGGCAATGCATTAAACATTGTTCAATGGCCCAATTCTCAAAGATGACTGAGCACCCTTCAGACACACAAACTTACACAATACACTGCGCAGCATGCGCCGTGACAATTAAGTCCTAACAACACGTGACACTGTGGACATCTAGCCGAGTTCAAGTCTGCCCACCTAATCCGCGGCTCCCATGGCGCACAGAAATAGCCAGTGTGCGTCGGCCACTCTCCCTCTGTGAGCGAACCACACCAGCAGCAGCTGTCACGCACTGAAAGCTACACCAGGGCTGCATGGTTGGCGGGGGGCGGAGGAGAGGGGGAGGAGGAGGAGGAGGAGGTGGCGGTGGAAGAGAACCGGTCCGGGCAGGAAGGAATGAGTGAGTTAGGCGTCGGCGAACCGCTGCGGGGCAAAGCCTGCGTGGCCAACCCGAAAAAAAGGGGAGACGCAGGCTCGGGGTAAACAACGAGTCAGCGCTTCTGACAGAGGGACACGCGGCAATGACCACGCCGTGTCCCACGGTCACGCAGGCCTCGCGATGGGGGGGAGGGGGGGCAGCTGGCGGGGGGAACATCTCTGTATAAAATGTATAAACATGCGTTTGGACTATTTAAATGATTTTGCTGATGCGATAAATGTCCAATTGATGGGCCACTTTGTTGAGCTATCGTTTGTGGCCAGGTCGCTTCTGGAAAAATAAGTTAATATCTCCGTGGCCTTTGCCTGGTAGGATGGGGATGGTTTAGTTTTATTTAGGTGATTTGTTTACCTTTCTTGTACTTTGAATGACTACCATGCTTTGTACTGTTTGTTGTAACGTTTTTACCCGCCCTACTGGAAATAAATGAAAACGAGCTTTATTGCTCATCGGATTCCTCTGGTATAAAGACAAATTCTGATATCAACGATGCCGTTTCTTTTATCTCTCTGTGCGCACCCGAATCCAATGCCGCACAATGCTAATGGTTGGCGTTTGTCACACGTCGGGAATTTTACAACCGGGACGTAACATTAAAGTTAAGTTTTTTTTTTCTTTCTCTCAGTGGCTGCGGTGAACTTTCGACAAAGCCTGTGAATGGCTATGAATAATCAAGCTTCAGACTGTAAATTGAATAGCCTCCGCTGGGGTTTAAATTTCATTTTTAACTAAGTTATGCTATTTTCTTAATTTACTTTTACTGCGGCACATTTCCTAGTGATTAGGCAACAGAATTTAAAAGGCACGGCCGGCCATAAAAATCAGTATGCACAATAAATATCATTATTTTATGTGCTTGTTAATGGAATTTAAATTTATAGGCTTACATTTCCGACCCGGTGAAGGCATTTTTTTTCGTGTCATGATTATTCATGTTAAAAACGGGACTGTTTCCACAGCTGTCATGATTATTCTTATTACCAATGGCAACTGCAGTAGTTTCCTTTTTTTTCTTCTTCATCATTTACCTTCTCGCCAAACAAATAATGGCGGGCGGGGTGGGGGGAGTGAACCGACCTTGCTGAAAACCAAAAGTCAACGTTTCAACATCGCAGCGGATGTGGCGGAGATGAGAGCGTTGAGGTTTTGCACGGTGCGGTCTTGCGGCCGTGGTAGCGGCTGTTAAGTGGGCATTAACAACAGCAAAAACCAAACCCCACCTGAGGTCAGCGAAGGAGCAGTTCTGTGGCTCTCGTTTTTTTTTTGGAGCATCCGGAGATAAAACATTCATTCTCTGCGGCTGTGCGCCATGCGCAGACGCCGCGTAGCTCGCTTTCCCAAATCCAACCGACCGTTCTCCCACTACGAAGGCAAGCGCACTCCAGCAACGGACATACAATTTTATTCGCTGCTTTCCTCTCTCTCTCTGCCAGTCCTTCAGCCGCAAAGTTAGTAAGCATACTGATGTATTTGTTTTGTTTTTATACGAGTCCGTGTTTCAAATTAACCGATCTGACTAATTATTTTTTTCATTTACTTCCCCCCCCCCCCGCCACCCCCGCTCGAAGCAGCTTAGAACTTTCGCGAAATGTAATTCCACCAAACTGTCAAGCCCACACACCTCCCCTTTGCACTCATAAGGGGCGCGTTACGCGGCTACCGCGGAAACGAGACGCGATGGGGGGTTAAATGATCTTTTTCTCGACCACCGTTTATATTTCTTTACGGTGTGCATGTGTGTGCTGTGTGTACGGGCGGGGAGCAGCGGTTAGGTGGTTCACACCACTGTGCCGTGAACGTGCCCGGACTCAGGTTTGATTCCCAGTAATGGACAACCTTGGTGGCATCTGAACCTGTTTTGAGCCTCCCCCTCATGCCACTTAAGAGTACAGCTGTGTGTGTGTGTAAGCACCAGCACGGAATAAGACAACAGTGTCCAGATGTAGCCCTGGCCACATCAATCCGCTGTGTGACGCACTAGCCTGAATAGGTTCTCTCTAACAGCACTTGCCCCAACAGTCTGTGTGTGAGATCTTTGTCTTTTGCATGTGTGTATCAATAGATGTGTGTGTGTAATGTACATCGACTCAGCCTCAAATAAGTACCTGGTGTGGTGCGTAAACATCGCCACAAGGGAAACAAAGGTGGCCAGGCGTGGTGTTGGCCACCCACCCCTCGTGTGCCGTGCCTGATTTCATAGGTGCTCGCTAACAGCACTTGCCCCAGCAGTCTGTTTAGGCTATACGGGCGATCTGTGTGTGTGTGTGAGACGTTACGTTGAGAGTGGCGGTGTAGTGTTTGGCGTAACGCGCGGCAAACTCGGTGGACCCGCGTGCGATTTCCGCTCACGGCCAACAACAGTGACGAATATCTCAACCGGTGCTGGGCCTCCCCTAAGTCGACTTCCTTAAATGAGTACCTGTGGTGGTGTGCAAACAATCGAACTGGCCAACCACGCACTTCGTGTGCCATGCGCACGTTTAATATGTGTCCGCTGCAGCACCTGCCCCGAAAAGTCTGTTAAATGCTATATGGGGAGTGTTATATTTGTGTGTGCATGATGCACACGCGCATTGGAACGATTCGTAGATAAATGTGTGTGTGCATCGTGTACGCACACATCTGTATGTGCGTGCACAGACACATGCGTGTGATTCCACACAAAAAACACGTGTGTGCTTGCGTCATGTAGATATGCACACCAATCCGCCCACTTCCACCGTGATTTACAGTGGAGTAAGATAACAAGAAAATTGCCACAGATTACATACAATATTAAAACTACATTTCACGGCTGTATTAAATTACGTCATTAACACTTCATACATTCTGCATGCAATTTTAAATATTTCCCCATCGTTAAAGGGATTGCACAGAAATTGTAGTCATTTAAAAAATGGTGCACAGGCAAACCCCTCCACTCTGGCCCTTTAACAAAAAAATGCGTGCCTTTTTAAACAAAATTGCTTTGACCGGGACAGTGGGGAGCCCTCTCATTTGATGGCAGCTAGATGCAAGAAGTGTTTAAGCAATTGGGGAGAAAGGCAAAGCAAGACGCGACCACTGAAGAAGCTAGTGATACACACCCTGGGCTCCGAACGTCTTGCATGGCAATAATACAATGAATGGGTGGCAGCGGTCGGGCTTTGTAATGGATCAATGGGTGATAGCATTCGTCTCGAGAGAAACAACATCGCTGGTCTCAAACACACACACACACGCGCGCGCGCGCGTGTCCTCACACGCGAGCTGTTGTGGATGGAATTCACGTAACCTCGGCTTAAATTTCAAACTATTCGTGGATGAGACTGCGTTCATTACGAATTAATATTCATCACGAACATGGATTTATTGCCGTAACTTTGTTTAGTTATAAACCAACAGATCGATAGTCGTGAATTGCGCTTCAAATATTTGCGCTGCATCGTAAGTGAAATGACCCTTGACATTTGCTCCCCTCTCATTCCGCTGACCAATTAATGCTCTTTTCATTTATCACGCCGTAGGACCCACGGAGGCAAAGTGAGATGCACATCTCTGTAGACTGCAAAGGAAGACCATAATCAGCAAACTGGCCCGTTGTCCCTGCTCCGAATCCATAACAAAGTATTCCGACTGTGTAGCAACATTCATCATACATGCGCTCATTTCCATACGGGCATCGTTGCTATTTGTCTTATTGATTTGCAACATCCCCAAACACAGACCCTTGTCCACAACAAACTCCGCCGCCCGCACGCCCGCACGCCCGCCCCACCACGCACACTCTCCGGCACGCTGCGGCGCGTAGAATTTTACACAACGCGAAAGACACCGATGTACGCGCTGAAGACTAACACATTTTAATTGTCGGCGACGACGAAAGGGGGATGATGCGTAGCGGTGTGCACAGAAAGGGAAAGCACTTTGCTGCGTACACAGAGACAAAGAACGGAAAGAGATGGGGCATGACGCAGACTCGGCACGAGATGAAAGAAAAAAAAACGTAGCAGAGAGCAACAACGAGAGAGAGAGAGAGAAGGCTGTGTAAAAGACAGAGTTGGATATTAAGAGAGGGAGACGGACATCCAGAGCAAAAGAGCACAGAGACAGGCAAGCAGGCAAAGAAAATCCCATGGGTTGGGGGTGGTGTTGGGGGGGGGGTGGGTGGGGAAGAAATAAATATTTCAATGAGAAAACCAAGGAAAGAGGATACATGTGAGTGGGTCACGGTACCTGAATCACCCCGGCTGCGGCATAGCACTGCGCGGACTGAGCGAACACGGGTATGCCGTAGTGATGGAGCACCACAGCCGGTGAGGATAACATGGCCCGTGGCTTGGGGGTCTCGTCAGGTCGGGGTCGGTTATGCTCTGAATAGAGGGGTTCGGCACAGCTGGTCTTCTTGGTGCACCGGGCGGGCGACGAGCGCACGGCCGGAGTGGCGCTGGGCAGGGGGGGGTGGGACGACGGCTGCGACAGTTCTCGAGAGGCGGGCGGGCGGGCGGGCGGGGGGGTGTCGCGCTGGTGCGGTGAATTTGGGCGCTTTCTCGGAAGCCAACGAAAATGAAGGAGTTACTTTTTTGTTTTTGTTAGGAAGACGGGCCCGGCTCACGCCGGCGTGAAACCAACAAACGGCAGGTTTTCGAGGTGATGGTGGAGAAAAATAAAAAAACGGTCGGTAATAAAAAATAATATATATTAAAAACTACCCCGCTTATATCTGGGTGGGGCAAGCTTCTGGCGTTCCCAACACTCTCATGACACTATGCCGTGGGGGGGGGGGGGGGTAAGCACCGTTGTGCTCCGAGTCTCAGCTTGACGCGAAATCCTTTGCTCGGATGTTTTGCTTCTTCCACTGCTGCTGATGCTGGCTGCTGGCTGCTGCTGCTGCTTCGAGCTTAGTGCACGCAAGCAGCCACCGGTAAAGGAAGTGCGTTAGAAATATTACAGCGGGGGGGGGGGGGATACCCCAAGTTGGGCTCAGAACGACGGTGGGGTGGGGGGGGGTGGCAGAGCAGCAGCGTAGACGCACGCCACAATTGGCTTCCAGATTCGGCAGCTGGGATTGGGCGAAGGCCGTTAAGGAGGGAGGGAGGAAGGGAGTGGTGGTGGTGGTGGGGGGGGGAGAGGAATAAAAACGAAGTGGTCGGCGGGGCTGATCCAATCACGTGTCCGCGGCCCGTAGCGATGTAATGTACATCTCAGCAGTTCAGCTTGGCGGTTGCGTTCGCTCGCTCCCCCTCTCTCTGTGTGACAGGGATCAGGGGGGGTGGGAGGGGAGAAGGGGAGGGGAGGGGGGTGCCATGTCATGGGTACCCACGCGGAGGAGCGCCGGGAAGGGGGGGGGGTGTAGGGGGGGATAGGGGGGGGGGCTGTAGGGGTGGGGGGGTGCGGTGGGGGAGCCGTCGTTGCACGACCACCCGCCCACAGTTCGTCGCGACGCAAAAGCGTTTGTTGTCAAAAAATTAATTAATATACGTGTAAAACTGGTGAGTAAAATGAATCGATACGAGTGCGCAAGGCATTGTAGGACGAACGCTCGCTCGCTCGCTCGCTCTCTCTATAGATTGTGTTAACATTCTAAACGTGTGTATTTGTTTAAGCGTATATCGAATGTATGAGGTGGTGGGCGGAGGGGGAGATGTACATTGTCGTCACACCGCAAGAGATCAGCGAGCCACGAGATGCCACTTATTGCCCGTTCTCCTCCTTCCCTCTCCTAATTAGCGATGAAGACAGCCGTGCGGCTTGCACCACGTCACCCCAACTCTGCTCCCGTCTCACCTCGGGGGAAACTAATGAGTCTGCCGTGGGGGGGGGGGGGGGGGGTGACACCGGTGACATTCTTCATCCGGTTTAGAATTTTTACAATAATCGTTGCAAGGGGGGGGAGGGGAGGAAGTCATCGTGGAACGCTAAACACTTAACATATTAACAGCAGCAACAAGAAAACGAGCACGGCGAGCGGCGAAAGAGAATACTGTCGAGCGAAAGCAACACTTTCGCTGGGCGTCGACAAGAGCGCCGTAATGAAACTGAAAAGAAAAAAAATTGAAGCCGTTCAACAATTTTAGGCACGACGGCAGCTACCACCCCCCCCGCCCCGTTATTGGCACAGGGAACATCGAACGCCACGTGGGTATTTTGGGCCGCGGCATGCACGAGGGGTCAGATCTAATTGCGCTGCACTATGTTAACACCGTACGTGCGTGCGTGCGCGCGTGTCAGCCCCACGACGTGAATGTCTCTTTGCAGGAATGGAGGAGCGCGGCAGCCTCTCGCTTCGTGGCCCGCGCGGCTCCAGAGGGCCCCCGTTGGTTGCGGGTGGCGCTGGCGGCGGAGGCGGCGGTGAAGCGGTAGCCGTAGACGGTTGGGGCCCAATGATCTACAGCGGCCTCTCGGCGTGGTGTAATTTGTAGGAGGCGTGGGGATAATGGGGAGTGAACCGGGACGGACGTTGTTGTTGTTGTACACTCGATAAAGCTACCCATTCGATGGCGGGCTTTTTTTGTCTTCCCGATCTCGGTTAATGTTTAAGCCGCAAGTTGTCAGAGGAGTGCGAAACGTGCGATAATGTGGGTCCATGTCATCTTCCTGGTGTGCTGATTTATTACAATCTACGAGCATTGGGGGTTTTGGGTAATTCCAATTGCGTTAACTGGAGTTCCGTTCAAAATACGTCAAATAAGAAATGCAGCACAGTAACATGCTCAATGATGTGGCCTTAAAAAAATTCTCCCTTACAACTTGAAAATATTAAAAGACGTTTTAATAATGCACTTGTAATATCAAGCAACGCAGAGAAGAAATTCATAAATTCCACATGGAAATGTATGGCAATAAAAATTGCGAGCGATGATTAAGGAAAAACTATAATTTTGATGTGGAGCAAATGAAACATTTTACATTGAAGTGCTGACACTGGAAATTGTGTGTGGAATTAAGGAAAGAACAGAAACAAAAATCCCAAGTTGCTTCCATAAATTAACAATAAAAGAACGCTTACTTTTTGACTCGGCGAGTTAATTAATTTTTTATATCTAGGGTGGGGGGGGGGGGGTTCAACAAAAAAGTTAATATTTTAGATCATACCCAATGATTTATTCAGGCGCTGCTAATCCCGCATTGAAAGGAACCACGCCGCACTTGGCAATGCAGTGCTGACGACGACGAGGCACGCAACCGAGCCAATGCCGCCTTGCGCTAGCAACAAACCGCCGCTCCCTTCCATCTGAGACGTGGCCAACGCTTCAGTAAAATGGCAAGCGGCTCCGTCAACCGAAGAGCGATTCGTGAAGGCAGGGGAGACACTCAGCGGGGGGGGGGGGGGGGGAGGAGGGGGGATGGAAGAGCCTCGTCGGTTAGCTCACGGTACCCGCGCTCAGAGAAGTTGCGCGGAATCCAAGAAGTCTGATGGTAACGCGGAGAAAAATCGAGGCCGACTCCTACTGTAGCCGGCGCTTTGTCTTTACTTGAGTTTTTCTCTCTCGCGCTCGCTCTCTCGGGCTGAAGCCAATGAAGGTTTGAACAAAAATAAAAAAGAGGGCCGCTCGCGTGCTGCTGCGATCATGTCTATTTGTGTTCGGCAGCGTCCGTGCCTGCGTTCGTCGTGCAAGAGGCTGCCCTTCCCCCCCCCCCCACCATCCGCGTCCCTTAATGCGATCCACTGCTCCGATCATTTTCGTTCGGTAGTAACACGTTGCACACGCGGCCACGGGCGACAAGAAAACCCAAAAAGATTGTGGCACGCTCTGGGCAAACATGCTACGGGGGAGAGAGAAATGCCACGAGAAAGATTTGTGAATGCAAGAGCCCATTGGCGGCTATTTGCGACGCTATCGCCCCCAACCCCCCCCCACACACACCACAGCCCGCACGGGTCTCACACCCTCGACGCCACCCTACCCCCAAGATCATTCCGTCTTCCCCTAGGCGTGCCTATATTAAATCCTAAAACATTATAACGGTGCCTTTCAGACTCACACACTGCTTGCAAATAAATACATTCATGCCAGTGTGTGAGGGCCTGCCTTCTGTACAATGACGCATACATCAGCGAAGCCCATGCATTTTTAAGCGGCGCGATCTTCTGAATTAAAACATCGCTACGTGTTCAACTTAACCCCTTAGCTTTTTTTGTTTTGTTTTTTAACCACTGACCGAGAGACCCGTACACACGTCGATCCGGACCTGCTGCCAGTGACCGTGACTCCTGACCCTACGCCCTCTGCCCTGAGCTCCCCCACCGCCACCCCCGCCTCCCCGTGCCCCCCCCCCACCCGACACACTCCCCGAGCCAGGCCCCCCTCTCTCACCGCTCGCATCATTTCAATTCCCCCCTCTGATCGCGGTGCAGCTTTATCGAGGCAGCCAAGCGCACGCTGAAATATATGCTCCAATGTTGCAAGTGTAATCAAGGGAAGGCATAATCGCCTACGCCGCAATTTTTCCTTCAGGCCTCGACATAATTAACGGTTTTAATGTTCTTATGCACCCACAATTTTTTTTATTCCATTGCCCCCCCCCCCCCCCATCTCAACCCAACCCACCCCCTGCTCAATGTTTAGATAATGGTACTATTACACACGGTGGCGCAAAAACGCATTGCACTCAGAAGAAAAAGAGCCAATTCGCACACACGACCTGAGCACACAGCATTCGTAGCGGAATGCAGTTTGCGGAGTGCTCGAAGGATCCGCTGACACTTCTGTCGAAACATCGCGGACGGATTGAAGGGGGGGGGGGGGGCGGCAGATGAAACTGCTTGCGGAGTGGCAGACTCCACGGGGCAAGCGCGCTCTGCCAGAGGTCATCGCAAATACAAAACCCGCAGGTGTAACTTTCTGCTTCGATTGAACTACAAAATGAGCAAACAAAAGAAATGACATGAAAACAAATGTTACAACCCTAAGCATGTCTAAACTTTAGATACCATAAATGATGAGCTAAAAAAAAAAACACGAGGCCAGGAAATATTTCACCGAAGCTTTGTTAACAAATCATGGCCCGGTGCTTCCATAAACCCTAACTAATGACTGCAGCTGCTTTGGAGAGACGGTAAATAGGGAATTGAGAACATATATTTTTTTAAACCGCACATAATTCTGAGCAGGCCCACCTTTTATGATGCTTGGGGGCCTCAGGCACCGAGGCCTGGGCTGCAATCGATATATTCGCTGTGGCCATTTGATGAATTATTTTACACCTTTACAACAGGCTCACACCTTTTCGCATTCACACACCCACTAATTCCTACTCAAAGCAGTTTTCCCAAAAAGCCATTAAAGCCACCTTGCGTGAAAATAAAATGCAAGAAATGAAAAGAACAGAACTGAGTCTGCATTCAGATTAGTGGTCGTTTGTTTGTGTTTGTCGAAAAGGTGTGACGCGAGACTGGTTATTGTTTACTTGTTGTTTAGAAACATATATTTCACACCCATGTGCGCTTTCCGCAATGGTCCGGGTGTATGAGCAGGTGGCCCTAATGGTTTGCCTTGGGCCTGCATACATATGTGGAAGAATGTCATCTGAGTTAGGGTACAAGTACTTACTTCTATTGCGGAGCTTACAGCTGCATGAAAACAAACCAGCAGACAACGAACATAGAAACGGGCAAATGCATCTTTCCCTAGTAATTGTGCTTAAAGCTTGACAGTAGAAAACTGAAAGTCAATTGCTCGGCAAAGGCATGATCACATACATATATTGCCCATCGCTTCCAGCTTTAAATTCGACACGAATCACAAACACACAATTGCGCACGATGAAACATTTATGCGTTATATTCCACATTTGTTTCATCACTTTCGGACACCACACTATTAAATTACTTGGGTACAGGCCCTTTTTAACTGAACTGCAGCGATCCTCACACACAAAGGATTCTCGGGCCCATTTGATGTGCATTTAATTAATTTCCTTTGGCCCAAATTGCAGTGCAGGGCGATCGATCTAACCAATGTACAGAAAATTATTTCAATATTTTTTTTCGTGTTTCGTGCCGAAAGTCCTCACTGATAGGAGGCCATTAGCAATGAAACGGTGAAATAAAAAAGTGGTATTAATAAGATCCACAGCAAGCTAACACATAGAGTTACTATGTCTACCTCATCTTTGACAATAACGCTAAACAGCGCGTTAACGCCTCGCTGTGATTTAATGCATGGCCCTGCCACACTGCATTTTACAGGAATGGTATGGCCCGGCATGTAAATTTTGGTCTCAGCTGTAATTCAGTCGGCATCGC